CATCCATAAAGCGACACCACATACATTAAAATAATAAAAATTATAGGAAAATCTCATTTATAGGAAAATAATAAAATTCTCCCTCAATTTTTAGTTATTAACAAATACAACAAATTATAGGAAAATAATTTCAACTATATTTCATTTATAAACCAAGGCTACGATTAATAAAATCTCATAACAAATATTTTATATTACACATAACGTACAAAAACTTATCCGTCATAACAAACATTTAATCCGACATTACAAATTCAACATACGAAAAAAAGAAATAGACCATAAATGCTACCACAAGTGTCATACATATCCGACAAGAAAGCGAACCACATAAACTACTCAGCAGAAGCGGAGCCCGAATGTGACCCAGTTCCTTGCCTGGATCCTTATTTAGATCCTCATTGTGATCCAAAAACCCTTCCCATGCCAACAGCTAAAGGAGCACCTGCGAGCATTCCAGAAAACCCTTTAATTGGAGCATCATCAGAAGAAGGCATCCCAGGTTGATATGCAGGCATTTCATATGGCGGCTGCTGCATGTATGGCATGTGTGGCTGCTGTATGTATGGCATGGGTTGTGTCTGATACATCGGATGTGAAGGAGGTTGCTGATAATAGCTTGTATACGGATATACAGGTGCTGCAGGAGGCTGACTTTGGGATGACTGTTGAGTTCCTTGTGGGCATGAATATGGATGAGGCTGACTTTGGCCTGACTGCTGGGTTCCTGGGCTATACGGTGGTGGTGGCTGAAATTTTTGCAAAAACGCCGCAAACAACTGATTGTTTACTTGTTGCTGGCTGCGTGTTTCTTCAAGCTTAACCTCCAGGTCTGCCACCTTTTTAGCATTAACTTATCCCTTCCTTCTCAATTCATTATTCTCAGTCAACAACACTGCCACTGAACTCCTGGATGATCTTCTGGAAGAATTAGAACTAGAAGCTGAAGAAGATGAATACAACACCATATCCAGAGTCACACCATGTCCATACCCACGTACTCTATTATGTCGCTCAGGACCCATAGTCTCTACATAAACCCGGGTCCTAAGGTCATCACTATCCTCTTGTCCAGACTCAATCATAGTTTGAATATGCCCCTCCATAGTTGCCTTGCAATAAAAATTCAACTACAGATAATAACAATAATATACTGCCACAAAAGGAAAAAACAATTACCCCAGTAAACTCAGATGTTTCATCAATCCAAGAGTTATCTTTCCGAGTATGATAGTAACAAAAAAACGAAACAAGATTAGCCTCCTTCCCATGCTTTTTCCGCTATAATTATAAGTCAATAAAAAAAAACCAATTTTCAGCAACCATCAAATTAAAAATAAAGTTCTACCAATTATATACTAAATTTAAAATTATCTACAATTCTTCAAATGTACAACCCTTACAAGATCTGTCCGTATTCTTGCATAAGATTTTGCACCCGTTGTGTGATTCATTGTTTTCAACCGTCGATTATGCTTATTTTTTGAGGCAATCTCCCAAAAAAAAAAACAAATTTATTATAGAAATTTTTATGCCACCAAAGTCTTTGAAGCAATCTCCTAAAGAAAAAAAAATTATTAAACATTTACCTTTGTTTTTTCCTTATTCCAATGTGTCACCAATTCAGCCCACTGTTGTGGATCCACATTAAAAGGAGTCTTCTGGTGCTCCTCAACTGGTTTATTAGTATAAAAAAAATTTAAACTTATTTCTATATTCTTTATGTGCGTGCTCCACAATAGGAAGTGTCATTTGACATATCATTGGCATTTTTGGAATATCTTCTTCTTCAAAAATACTAGTTTCCTACACTCATCATAAAATACAAACAAATTAACAATTACTATAAATATTGACTTATTCTACTCTCTTCAAGTAACAAAATTTTTTTATACCTTTATTCTATTCCAAAAAGCTTCCTTGCCATCTTCCTTGATCTTACGACTCACCGGCAAGTAAATAGATTATTTATCATGCATGCAATGTGGACAGGCTTTATAGCCATGTGTACTCCATCCTGACAACATTCCATAAGCCAGAAAATCACTTATAGTCCATAAGACGGCAGCCTTCATCGTAAAACTTTGGTTGGAATACGCATCATAAGTGGGAGTGCCCACCTCCCACAACTCATTCAACTCATCAATCAGTTGACGCATGTATACATCAATCTCTTTACCAGGACTGCGCAGTCCTAGTATTAATAGAGACAACAACAAATTTGGTTGTTTCATGCACATCCAAGATGGCAAATTGTAAACAGAAAGCACCACAGGCCATGTGCTATGATCATTCCTCATTTTCCCAAAAGAATTAAATCCATCACTGGCTAACCCTAATCGGACATTTCAAATTTCTGACGCAAAATCCGAATATAAATTATCCAAATGCTTCCATGCTGGAGAATCTGAAAGATGCCTTATAAACTCATCCTTAGGATATTCATTTGCGTGCCACCTCATATGTTCAGCTGTATGCTTCGACATAAAAAATCGTTGCAATTGTGGTTTTAAAGGAAAATACCACATGACCTTAGCTGCGATCTTTTTTCTCGACCTATCATCTGCGTTGGTAATTTTATATCTTGATTCACCACAAACCGAGCACACGGTCAAATTCGAAGTATCATTCCAATAGATCATGCAATCATTGGGACATGCATCAATTTTCACATATATCAGACCCAAGTCATTTATAAGTTTTTTTGCCTTGTAACAAGATTCAGGCAAACAATCCCCTTCAAGCAACATTCTTTTAATTAACTCCAGTAAAGTGGTGAAGATCTTGTCTGGCATTCCCGCTAAACACTTGATCTGATAGAGTCTTATAACTGCTTCCAATTTCTTAAACTCCTTACAACCTGGCCACAAATCTTGATTTGCCTCTTCAAGTAACCTCAAAAAAGTCTCCACCTCTTCTGGACGCCCTTCCCCAATAGAATGTTCAGTAGACGGCCCAACACCTTCTTCTGTTAATGGTTGGACAAATACATCATTAAGAAAATCATGCATGCCAATCACCTCATCTCCTATTTCTTCTTCTCCAATTGCCACATTTTGTTCTCCAATGTTTTGCTCACCATGATGTTGCCACAAAGCGCTTTTATAATCTTTATCCATATCGTACAATATGAGATGTTCAACAATAGTGTTCCTAACAAAAGTCTATCGATTACAACATCTTTTGCAAGGCTATCTAAACTTATCAGGACCAACACCATTTGCAACTGCTTGATCCAAAAACAAATTAATTCCAGCTGTATACGCTTCAAAATTTTGGGGTATCGTCAACCAACTCTTGTCTATGTTTTACCACTTTACGAGTGCAAAATATTACGTGAACACTAAGATGCCTACACTCTTTCAATCCGTATCATGTAGGCATAACTATTAGAATTTTCAATTTCTATCTTTCAACCCTCGAACTCTACCACGATTGCAATCTTTTAATTTTCAACACCTATTATAGTAAAAACAAATTAAAATAACAACAAAAAGTTATCAAAATTATGCTCATCTAATCCATTCTAATAAATAACAACCAAAAGTTATCAAATTAAAATAACAACAAATTAAAATAACAATTAAAGTGCAAAACAAATTAATTTAACATAATATATTCTTATGTTATTTAACATAAATGCTTATAAATAGTATTCATTTCCATTTTCTCATAACAATTCAAGTGACAAAATTAATTAATTCGACTAAATATTTATTAATTTAACAAAAATAGTAGAAAATTATCTAAGTACTTAAATTAGAATTTTTAAATAAATAAACTTGTGTATTATATAATTTTAAAATTAAAGAATTTAGTGATAGAAACCTGAATTATGGAAGAATTCCGACGTCGATCAACTCTTTATGTACTTAACCAACTCAAATAAATTCCCTACAAAAATAAATTGTAAATAAAAATTAAACATAAGAGGAGAAAATAAAAATATTAAAAGCAAGAAAAACTTACTATTGTGAAGAAGGAACAAATGAAGTTGGAAGAACAAATAAGAAAAGCGCAAGAGAGAGAACACGGAGGGTTTGTAAATTGGAAGAACGAATAAGTAGAATGCAAGAGAGGAAGAAGAAAACACCGCCGGGGGGGGGGGGGTTATAATACCATCAAGCTGTCCCTTACAACCGACACCAGGTTTCAAAATATTTAAAAAACTAAAATCTATGTCACTCATAACCGATGCAGACTTTACAAAATTTAAAAACAATAAGGACAAGTTTGTGTGGTGTCGAAATAAGGACAAGTTTGCGTCGGTTAAAACTGACGTGTCCCTGACAGTCTCGACTGTTGTATGAATGGCCTCGAAATAGGACAATTTTGCGTCGGTTCAAACCGACGTTATGCCCTTACACTGATACTTTATGTCGCTTAAAAGCGACACCAGTGTTCAAAAATATTATAATGTATGTTTCCGTCGGTTTAAAAGCAACACCAGTATTTAAAAATATTAAAATGTATTTTTACGTCGGTTTAAAAGCAACACCAGTATTTAAAAATATTAAAATGTATGTTTACATAGGTTTAAAAGCGACATCAGTATTTAAAAATATTAAAATGTATGTTTACGTTGGTTTAAAAGCGACATCAGTATTTAAAAATATTAAAATGTATGTTTACGACATCAGTATTTAAAAATATTAAAATGTATGTTTACATCGGTTTAAAAGCGACACCAGTATTTAAAAATATTAAAATGTATGTTTACGTCGGTTTAAAAGCGACACCAGTATTTTATGAACATTAAATCCGACGTCATGTTCAATTAGTGTCGTAACTATCTTGTCCGTCACTATATTAGATTAAACTGACACCACCCACTGACACTATAAGACCATTTTGTAGTAGTGATTATTACCTTTAAGTTTTTCAATTATGTAACATCGTGAGTGTAACTATACTGGCTAAATTAGAAGGGCAAAACCGGAAAATTAAAATAGTAATCCATCGAACATCCCTCACATAATTTACCTATCCCATAATCTTCACGTACAGCTCTTTCACCTTCTCTAGTCTTCTTCTTCTGCATTGCTGCGTTCCTTCTGAACTCCTCCAACCAATATTACACACACAGAGATCCGAGGAGTTTGGGAAAACCCTAACCCGGATTCAATCCACCGTCGCGTCATTAGAACGCATCACTTTGTCCAACTCCCAACTGCTATCGGGGTTCGCTCTGTTTTTATTTATTTAATTCCTTTTAGGAACTAATTTAATTATGCTGTCGTTGAATTTCTCCATCCTTTTGCATATAATTTGTTCATAGGTTATGGTTAGATCGATTATATATCCGTGAGTAATTGGTATTGATTTTGATTATTTTTTATGCGCCAAAAGATGGAAACTTTAGGAGAAACTGTATGAACTGATTTACATTGCGGTTTTAGATAACCATATATTTTTTTAAATTTTATTGAATTAATCTATCTCATTGTCCCGTTGATATTGAATTTGGATTTTCAAGATTCCTAGAAAAAATTATCATAAAAAATGAAGGTTCCTGTATAAAGGGTTTGATTTTGGAGAAAGAATACACCTTTCAATTTTGAAGTCTGGGATCATTTGAATGTGATAATTGTGTAAGCTGAGATTATTGCGATAAGGTGAGTTACGATTGTAAGCGTGATGTCTTGTGGTTGATATTTTCAGTTATGGCTGCTGTGGCACCGGAAGGATCCCAATTTGATACTCATCAGTATGATGCAAAAATGAGTGAGTTGTAAGTTTTATTTTGTCCGCTCGCTGTCTTCCTCTCATACTTTTTTTATTTCCGTATTCCATATTTTGAATGTTGTGCATAATTTGTGTTGCCAACGATAAAGATTTATTCTTGGTTTACTGGATTGATGGGAGCAGACTTGGAGCTGATGGGCAAGACTTCTTCACATCGTATGACGAGATTCATGACAGCTTTGACGCTATGGGATTGCAGGAGAACCTTCTTCGGGGTATCTATGCATATGGTAAATCAAACAATGCTACAAATTGTGTTCTCTGGAAGTTAAGAGTTTCTGATATTGTACTTTTTGAAATTTGTTGATGGGAATTTTTTTTTGGCTAGATATACTTGATAAGATGATTTTAGTTTATCAACATTTTAGGAAGATAGAAGCTTATAAATCCATTTTTCATCAATTGAGTGTACTGAGGTTTTCGGACAATGTTGTTTTGTGTGTGTGTGTGTGTGTGTGTGTGTGTGTTTTAGATAACAGAAAATGGTGGGTGGGAGTAATATTTTAGGCTGCAACTTGTAAGATTGTTTACGCGAGAAGTGTGGGGTGTGACCTTCGCTTGAAGTAAAATCCTTTACCATTTAACACTGCCTCTTCTTGATTTACACACACACACACACATGCATATGCATGTTTGTTGGTATGATATACTACGAATGTTAGTCATCCCTGTGGTAAAATGGAAAGCTGATATATGATTTAAACTTTTATTCAAGGTTTTGAGAAGCCCTCTGCAATTCAACAAAGGGGAATTGTTCCTTTCTGCAAGGGACTTGATGTGATTCAGCAGGCACAATCTGGAACTGGAAAAACAGCGACTTTCTGCTCTGGGATTCTGCAGCAGCTTGATTATGGCTTACTTGATTGCCAAGCATTGGTTCTTGCACCCACACGAGAGCTTGCTCAACAGATCGAAAAGGTTATGAGAGCACTGGGTGACTATCTTGGTGTCAAGGTCCATGCTTGTGTTGGTGGAACCAGTGTTCGTGAAGATCAACGCATTCTCTCCAGTGGAGTCCATGTCGTTGTTGGCACTCCTGGTCGTGTTTTTGACATGCTACGAAGGCAGTCTCTTCGTTCTGATTACATTAAGATGTTCGTGTTAGATGAAGCAGATGAAATGCTTTCACGAGGTTTCAAGGATCAGGTCCTTAATTTCTTTTTCATTTGTATTCTCTGTTTCTTCTGTGTGCTGATACTTCTTGCTACAAATAATGAGTTTGGTGATGTTTCAATTTCGCGTGCTATTTTGGTTAAGTGGTGTATTGTACTAACAATCCCATTTCTTGTTTTCAGATCTATGACATTTTCCAGCTGCTACCACCTAAAATCCAGGTGGGGGTTTTCTCTGCCACAATGCCACCAGAGGCCCTTGATATCACTAGGAAGTTCTTGAACAAACCTGTAAGGATTTTGGTGAAACGTGACGAGCTCACCCTTGAAGGTATCAAGCAGTTTCATGTCAATGTTGAGAAAGACGATTGGAAACTTGAGACACTTTGTGATCTTTATGAGACCTTGGCAATTACACAGAGTGTCATCTTTGTGAACACCAGGCGCAAAGTTGAATGGTTAACAGACAAGATGCGCAGCCGTGATCACACAGTTTCTGCCACCCACGGAGACATGGACCAAAACACAAGGGATATCATCATGAGAGAGTTTCGGTCTGGTTCTTCTCGTGTGCTCATAACCACTGATCTGTTGGCCCGTGGTATTGACGTCCAACAGGTCTCTCTTGTGATTAATTACGACCTTCCAACACAACCAGAGAACTACCTCCATCGTATTGGTCGTAGTGGACGGTATGGGAGGAAGGGTGTTGCCATCAATTTCGTCACCAAGGATGACGACAGGATGTTGTTTGATATCCAGAAGTTTTATAACGTTGTCATTGAGGAGCTGCCGGCAAATGTTGCTGATCTGCTCTAAATAAGGTTTTGCATTGTTTTGGTGAATTGCCATCGAATTTTCGAAGCCGTATTCATCTTTTTCCTAGGGGCGATTGTTTAACATTGTTTACTTGGAACAGGGGAATTCCCGTTTCAGGTGCGGAAAAAACGACTTGAAATTTTTGGTCGAAGTTTTGTTGCGTGTTTTTATAATTTTAGTAGGTCAGAAGTTTTGCACCATTAAACTATGTTAGGATTGAAGTGTTCAAAGTGGTTTTTGAGATAAAATATGGGGTGTGCTATCCACACACCCCATCTTACTTTTCACGCACCCCTTTATAATTTCTGTTTGTTGATCTTCTTCAATTCATCCGATCCGACGGCCGAAAATTAAAAAGTTGTGTGAGAAGTAAAATGGGATGTATGGATATCACATCTCTAAAATATAAAGTTGGAGTCACGAAAGCTTCTCGCTTGAGTGCGCTGAATATTGATGCAATTTTGACTTTTGAGAATTTTGTTTCTGTTGTGAAAGAGCGAATAGAAAAATGGTAAATGAGGAGATATTCTTATTTACGATTAGGAATATATACATATATCTGATATCTCTACGCGTCTATAACATCGGAAATTCAAATAGTGATGGAGCAAAATGACCCCAAACATAAAGGGGATGGACTAATTGGGATCAACTTCTCAATATAGTCAAAGAAAAAGAAGAATAAGGTTCTTTTTTTTGGTTAAAAGTCCTTAAAAACAAAAAAATAAAAAGAAGAAAGATAGATGAGACTCCCTCATAACAATAATTGTTGACAACCAACTCTTACAACAAAGTGTAGCTATTTGTATAATTGTTTAGTGACCAGTTTGATGATTACCTTCCTAGGTGAAGTCGGGCTTACACAAAATGGGTTTTACCGACCCATGATGAGCATGATAAGTGATTCATTTGTATTTACCAACACATGAAATTTTGATAAAATATGGGCTCCGGATTAAAATAAGTAATCGGATATCTTAAAAAAATCATGAATGAAATCAATTAGAGAGGCAACTTGATGCATACGTATTCCTTCTTTTTAGTCTCCGATTCATGGTTTCTTCCATTCCATATAAGCAATCATCACATTATTGTACGTTTAGCTATCATTCCTCAAAATTCTATTTTTGATTAAAAGTTCGTAACTATTTTATTTGTGTATATTTTTTTTGAAATTGCTTCATGCCAAAACATATTCAAATGTGAAATCACATTTGGATTCATAAAATGGTTTTGCCAAACAAGGGCAAACTTGCTTCTTTATAGCACATATAGAAGGAGAAAAACTTACATGGAACAAGTTCACCGCCACATGACGTCCTATGTCCAATAATACATTGCCAAATGCAAGTTTTTCTCCACATGGCAAGATATTATTAGATTAAGACACCATGTAACGGTGAACCCATTCAATATAAGTTGCTCTCATATAGAAGGCCTAAAATTTGTATTTTATAGCATTTTAACCAAAATGGTCTTTGAAATTGACATAACTCCTTATTTTGGTCTCTAAGATTTGAAATCGATAGAAGTAGTCCCTAAGTTTATCCACTGTGAATCAATTTAGTTATTTCATGAAAATCTCTTGTTACTAAGGATTAAAATGATAAAAATACTCTTATGATAAACAATGAGCCAAAATCATTTAACAAAAATTAAGGGCATTTTTGTCATTTTCACCTTGTTTAACGGAATTTTTTTCAAAAAAGATCCAAAATAATTAACAATGGAAAAACTAAAATAGTTAAATTTTAAAAACCAAAATGAAAAGTTATATTAAACTCGAAACGTATTTTAGTTCGAAAGTCTTCTTTTATTATTCCATACTAGCCTTCATGCACGCGCTCACGTGCGTGCATAAGACATTTTTTGGATCATAGTGTGCTAAGCGCGACTTAAATGTTTTAAATGTATTTGTATGCGTAAATTGACAAAGGGAAAGTCAATTATTTGAAGTAAATGTATAATCTTAGATCATGCTAGAATAAACCCCTCATAAACCAATTAAAACAGCTGAATTTATAGAATAAAATCGGTTTTTATAGAATTTACATTAAGAATAAAGAAAATAATATTTAATAAACAATTGATTGAATCACATTATTGCTAGCCCATTGTGAGGCTAAGCCCACCCTTCCCTTTTAGTGCAGATAATATCGTTTGTTAAAAAAAAATCATTCAACAACTAATTTAATCACATCATTATTCGCGTGCGAAAGACTTTTTTTTTAACAGACATTCAATAAACAACTGATTGAATCACATTATTGCTAACTCATTGTGAGGCTAAGCCCACCCCCTCCACCTTAGTGTAGATAATAGGGAACTTTAACGAAAAGTACCCGGTACTGTTCACTTTAATGAAAAACCACATTTTTACACTAAAAAGTCAATCATGGTACTATTCACTTTACCCTTTATTTTGTCCTTATCATTAAAACTCAAAGTTTTCAAGCCCTTTTCACTAGTTTTCCTTAGATAATATCATTTGTTAAAAAAAAAAAACAATTATTTGACAACTAATTTAATCATATTATTATCCACATGCGAAAGACCTTTTTTTTATAACCGGCATTACATGCCTCTTAAGATATTTTGAATGTGTTTAAAAATAGAGAAAATAATATTTAGGGTAAATCTTAGTTTACTACCCTCAAGTTTTATGGTTTTCAACATTTAGTACATGAAGTTTTTTTCGTCCCAGAGTCATACCTAAAGTGTTAATTTTGGGACAGTCTCATACATCCGTTAGTCTGGCTGTTAAGTATTCCGTTAACTGATGACGTAGTGCCCATGTGGACAATGACTGAGCACCACGTGTCATTAAGGGGTTTACGTGGAAATTAAAAAATTTAAAAAAAATTCCCCCAAATTTAAAATATTAAAATAATTAATTAAATAAAAGTAAAAAATTAAAAATAAAAAAAGCCCCCCATAACCCCTTCATCTTCCCCACCCGACACCCTTCATCCTTTCTTCCTCAATTTCTTTGTTATGATTGTTGTCTGCAAGTCTCACCTTATATGAAACTCGACCTTCAAACAGACCCAATAGTTGAAGACCTCGCCACCGTCTACACCTTTCTCCAACAATTGAAGACCTCGCCTCCTTGTCGTTGCTTGAAAAGCAGGAGAAGCAGGACGAGCTCGACACGACAGGGCATCGAATGACGACGCGTCGTTAATAGAAGAGACGCACAAGGAGAGGAACAAGGCCATTCTCGATTACTACTCTAATTTGCAGGAGTGCTACTTGGAAGTGGAAGAATCTGAAACGATGAAGCGAAGAAAATTGAGAAGCGCCTCATGTGCGACGGTAACTGATGAAGTCGAAAAAGGTAAGCCAGGAGTCGGGTCGGGTCACCATCGGCGACTATGGGTTAAGGATAGGTCGAAAGAGTGGTGGGACGAGTGCAACCAGCCCGATTTTCCGAAATCGGAATTCAAAAAGGCTTTTCGGATGGGGAGTCGAAGATGGAGGGGGAAGGGTTGGTTGGGTGGGTGGCTGGGTAAATGGGTGGTGGAGTCGAAGATGGAAGGGGAAGGGTTTGGTGGGTTGGTGCAGAGGAGAGAATTGAGAGATAAGGGAGGAAGGGCTAGAGGTAGAAGACGACCAAAACACTTATTTATTTATTTATTTATTTTTAAATTTTAATTTCTACATGGACCCCTTAATGACACGTGACACTCAATCGTTGTCCACATGGACGCCACGTTATCAATTAACGGAAGACTTAACAGCTAAACTAACAAATGTATGAGACTGTCCCAAAATTAACATTATAGGTATGACTCTGGGACGAAAAAAACTTCATGTACTAAATGTTGAAAACCACGAAACTTAAGGGTAGTGAATTGAGATTTACCCTAATATTTAATAAACAACTGATTGGATCACATTATTGCTAACCCATTACAAGGCTAAGCCCACCCCTCCCCCTTAGTGTAGATAATATCATTTGTTAAAAAAAAATCATTTGGCAACTAATTTAATCACATTATTATTCGTGTGCGAAAAACTTTTTTTATAATCGGCATTACACGCCTTTTAAGATGTTTTAAACGTGTTTAAAATAGAGAAAATAATATTTACTAAACAACTAATTGAATCACATTATTGCTAGCCAATTGTGAGACTAAGCCCACTCTCCTCTCCCTTAGTGTAGATAATATCGTTTGTAAAAAAAAATCATTTGACAACTAATTTAATCACATTATTATCCGCATGCGAATAACCTTTTTTTATAACCGGCATTACACGCCTCTTAAGATGTTTTGAACATGTAAAAAAAAAAACAATTATTTGACAACAAATTTAATCACATTATTATCCGAGTGCAAATGAACATTTTTATAACCGGCATTACACGCCTCCTAAGATTTTTTTACGTGTTTAAAAATAGAGAAATTGAATCACATTATTACTAGCCTATTATGAGGTATGTTTGTACCATACTTGACTAATTCTGAAACTACTAAGCACCGATCAATGTTATTCCGTCAAAGATCCATAAAACTTTCCCTCCAACCAGAAGGCCAATCACAGCGCGACACATGTCGACATCAGAAACCAATCATGGCGCGACATTTGTCAACATCATAAGCCAATCATAACACGATACGTGTCAATGTCAGAATGAAACTAGAAACTTTCTTCTATAAATAGAGACCATTCTCTCACAATATTTCCTAATGTCATCTGTACTAAATCATTCACTACTACTCACTAAAGGAAAGCTTGAACCTATGTACTTGTGTAAACCCTTCACACTTAATGAGAACTCCTCTACTCCGTGGACGTAGCCAATTTGGGTGAACCACGTACATCTTGTGTTTGCTTCTCTGTCCCTATCTATTTACATACTTATCCACACTAGTAACCGGAGCAATTTAGCGAAGGTCACAAACTTAACACTTTATGTTGTACCAAAGTCCTCACTGATTTTGTACATCAACAATGTACTAATTATAAAATAAAAAATAAATTAAAAAAACACACACACACAAATTAATTATTAAAAAATACTATTAAAATGACAAAAAATGTCCAATCTTATTTGATGCATTATTTTGAGATGCCTTTAAAATTTTTTATCTTAAAGATATTTTTGTTTTTGTTCAAATATTTTTGTTGAAATTTGATCGCAGTAAAACATTATCGATCTTTTCCATTGACTTTATATATAGATAGAAGACCTAACATTCGTATTCCTTTATTCTTTTATGCATAGAATTCAGCTTTTTCCTGGAAAATAATATTAACAAACAGACAAGACAACCTGATTCCCCGCGAAACACGCCATCTAAAATCACTCATAAGGTCAGCTTTTACCAAAAAAAACCTTAAAAAATGAAACCCAAACAAAATATCTCTCTAGTTTTTTCCTCTTACTTTTCTTCTTCTTCTTTTTCCTCCTCTGTTAGAATCCAAGCCCACCAAACGGTTTGAAAGCTCTCTCTGCCCCCATGGAAGAAGACTACAGCAGATCAAGGTCGTCGTACGGCGGCGGCGGGAATAATATGCAGGTGGGAAGCTACTATGGACACCCAACGAGGCCGCCACCCCCCACTTCCTCCTATGAGCTGAGGAGCTACAGTGTTTCATATGCACAAACCCAGAAGGCTAATCAGAATTATAACTATAATAACAGGGAGATTAAGCTGAAAAAAGGGAAAAGCATTTCTGGGTCGTCTTCGAATTGGGGGGTCCTGGCTGATCCGGAGTTGCAGAGGAAGAAGAGGGTTGCGAGCTACAAGATGTACTCTGTGGAGGGGAAGATGAAGGGCTCGTTCAGGAAAAGCTGCAGGTGGCTTAAAGATAAGTACACCCAAGTGCTTTATGGCTGGTCGTGATTAAAAGTGATTAATAAGTGCTTTTTGGTGGGCAATATTTAGATTTTGTTCTGTAATTATTCTTATTTGTAAGTCTTTTGAAATGGAGTTTATGGTTGTGATCGTATAAAAAAAAAATCACGATTTGAGTTTGCTGCAAATTAATAAATTGAACTGAACTGTAAATTGGAGTGTATTGTTTCTGGTTTTGAATCAATTTGTCACCTTCTGTGATTATCCATGTTGTTCTTGTTAAAAGTTATACGCTTTGAGGTACGCTGATAACGATTTGTCGGTGTACACAAAAACTATTTGTTTGGAGATATTGATATTTCTCACCTTCAAATTGGTTCAAGATTTTGATTCTCTGTTCTGGTGTTAGGTTTTATCTATACTATATAAATCTGGATGCTCTAATTTTTCCCTTGCCTTTCATATCTAACCTTTTTGTAGTGTGCTTTAATTTGCGACCTGCATATATGAGAGGTGCTTTAATTTTCATTGTAAGCAATAATCTTGCTTGATTACTAAGTTTCTGTTAGGAATCCCTTTTGGAAGGGCGAAAAGCGCTTTTGATTGCATTTGGCAAAAAACTTAGAAGCACTTTTTGATAGGTATGTAACCGCTTTTGATTGCATCTGACAACAAACTTAAAAGCGCTTATGTCTCACACAAGCGTTTAATGCAGAAGTACCGACCAAATGCTTCTTGTGGGAGCATTTTCAAGTGCTTATTTTAATTGAGAATAACGTGTTAATAATCAAAGTACTTTTATTATAAGCACTTATGAGCATAAGTGTTTTTTAGAGAAGCAACGCAAAAGGGCTCGAAGTGTCATCCATGGCTGTTTATAGAGAAAGACATAACCATGTCACATGATGAGTATAACAATAATAGGTTATATCTCCGGTTGTATGCAAGATTCTCACTTATTTATGTGTTTTGTTATCATCTTTTGGTTTTCATATCCATCAAGCTACTTGGCTTATGGGATCATCTCTGTCGTGAATGATTTGTAGCCGTTGAGTCGGTTGACTCCTTATGCAAGGCCAAGTAGTTCTGTGGTTGAGATGATTTTAATATGTAGCAGGACCAACCTATGAAGTTTTGGCTTTGGAATTTCTGCCAGCCCATGTGCTTGTAACCTCCCCTACCATAATATAATGCCATTGCAACTGTTTCCATCACCTCCTTTCTGTCCGCAAATGGCTTGTAGTTTGAGTAGTTAAAAATATCGTTACACTCAAGCTCTCGTGTTTGATTTCTCCTCGCCAGTTTGATTTCTTTTGGAAACGGTTAATACTCCTGCAATTGAACAAGTAGACCATTGGCTGGCATTTATGCACAATGATTCACGGTGGCAGGGGCATCATCGGTTGAAAGAAGATACAATCTAAACTCCGTGAAAGGGCTCCATAAAAATCTTTCAGAAGTGCAACTTTGTTTTGCGGGATTAGATACAGCTAATCGACCCGCAAAAACTAGGTCAGATTGATACTGCCAAGCAAGCAGTAATATGTGCCAGTTGATCAGCTGGTATCTGATCCCGCATGGCCTGAATGGCTGGATGCGCCTGTTCAAACCATTTCTTCCAACCAAAATAAAAACTCCTAACTCTACCATTTGAAACTGCAACTAAGAGAATGCATTACTTTCACCTGAACTAATTTCAGAGACTGACCATATTCCGCTCTTTTTTTTTCAATGGTTTTCAATGCCACCCCAAGACAAAAATGGAAATTATTGAATTGGAATTGTTTAATATGTAAGAGTACATACTTAAGCACCAACATGTTATAGGGTTACAGATCAATTGTAATTGTTTAATGGACAAATCATTTTGGTCTATTGTTTACTAAATTGAGAGTATTTTTGTCATTTCGGTCCTTATTTAACAGCAATTTTTCACGAAATGATCAAAATGATTGACGGTGAATAAGCTCAAACCAATTATGTTAATCTCAGAAACCATTTTGGCTAAAAAGACATTCTTTGTATTTACTTGAAAAGAGTTCCTAGAAATTAGTTGCATATAGTTAAGACTCCATAATCTTACTCTATTTGGGGCTTTTTGACTCCTTGCACATTAAATAACTTGTATGCCAACTTACTTAATTGTCCAAGCAATCACTACTACAAAATTATCTATAACTGACGGTCCAAAAACCGACAAAAAACGTATATTACTGTCGGATTTTAAGCAAAATCTGACAGAAAATGGATGCAGTGGCGGATATAATAAGCGACAGAATTGCCTACTTTAGGAAATGAATTTTCCGACAGAAAATATTCTAAAACCGACAGAAATCCTGTCGGTTATATCCGACAGGATATATATTTATAATAAATAAATAAATAAGAGAATTTCCGTCGGATAAAACCGACAGTATATCTGTCAAAAATATTTTAAAAAAGGATTCAAAAATACTGTCGGTTATAACCGACAATATTTTTTTGATATCCACCACTAAATATCCGTCAGGAATTTATGTCGAATATAACCGACATAATTTTTCTAATATCCGCCACTAATTAAATGATGTGTCGGATATAGTTTATCCGACAAGATTTTTCTAATATCCGCCACCATCATCCGCCACCTAAAGCTGTAGTAGTGAATCGTATCATAGCTCGTTGTCAAACACGTGAGATTTTACATAACGACTAAATTACTTTGTGTGGCGTGCAAGTAAATTTGGCTATATATTAATAGGACAGCTTAGCATCTCCTTGCTAGGTCAGATTACTTTCCCAGTCAAATTATCTCCGTCTCAATCACCTGCAGTACCTGAATACCTCAACATCCGGAAACGCCTACACTATGGCACAACTGGAAGCGAATTCTACACAAATAGCGCCGGAGCTTGAAAGCGAAGGAGGCGAAGATCACTTGCATGGAAATCGAAATCAGGGCTCAGGAGAGCCAAACTCAAACGCCAGAATTAAACATGCTCAGATGCTGGCTGCGAAGACTAGTCGAGATAAATTTGAGCTGGATAAAGCTTTAACGAAAAAGACGGTAAGTCTGCAATCTGCATGAATTTGTTTGACTGCATTTCCTAATTCATTCATCAGATATGATCATGAATTAAACTATGTTGTATTTTATTGAAATTTATGTATTACCAGTGTGATAGGAATCAGTTGAAAGAACCGAATAAGCATGAACGGAGACTCAAATTCTGTTTGGCCACGATGAGGGAGAAAATGAATATACTGCAACTATTTTTGCTTCATTTCGGAAACAGAGCTCATCAAGGAAATCCAATGAAGCCCTTCTTGCCACGAGAAGAGATAGCTAAACATGTAAGAGTTTTACTTCTTATGTATGCACATACGTCGGTATGTAAATGTTTCTTGATTATATAGCCTTTTTGAGTTGTTGGAAATGTGATAATGTATTCTGCAGAAAATGAATTTCCGGATGGTACATGAAACAAACAGTTTGGCGGAGGAAAAAAAGCTTTTGAAAGAGATCAATGCGAGGCAGAAGGAGGTGGTTGATTCAGTTTCACCATTGGGAAAAAATCGTTATTTTCCGCCTTACATAGATGTAAGAAATTTTAATTTCTCCTAGATTAGTCAACTATACGCTTTTTTTTTTGTTTAATCTAATTTGGATTTGGTTTTATGGTTTGGAATATTGAAACAGACTAGGCACTTGCGCCTCGACGAGTATTTTATGGTGATAAACCCGAGGAATGTAGTTGAAAACTGCCTAAGACAAATCCAAGAACTCAAATGGCGAAGCGCAAGATCTGGAATTATATTTCAAAGCCAATGGGATGGTGAAGCCATTGCTGATCATGCAAGTTATGATGCTAATGCTGCTGCCTATTCTATTGCCAATGCCAAGGGAAAGATTTGGGATTCATTGAGTTCAAAAAAAGCGTTACAAGAACAAATCAGAGTAACATATGCATAATTCTAACTCAAAAAGAATTGGAAAATTTGATTTTTGTGTTTTTTTACTAGCTCATTTGATTTAATTTCTTGACACAAATATTGCAGGTAACTGCCAAGGAGATGGATGAATTAACGAAATCACTGGTGGCCCTGCGGCGAGGGCAGAATATAAAGAGAGCTGGGAGAAAATTGAAGGTCGTTGAAAGAGATATAGAATGCTTGAAGAAGAAAATGACATTGATGGATCAAAAGAAAGATGAAGCATACGAGTGCGTTTTTTAATTGAGAAAACAAGAGAGTACATCAGTTCTGCCATTCACCAAATAAAAATACACAATGCCATTGCAACAAATTTTATCGTCTCTTTCCGCAAGAACTCAAGTAGTTAGTGACATCATTGCATTCAGCTCTTGTTTCGGTTTCCCTTCAATGTGATCTGTTTTGCGGTAGCATATCCGCTCTAGCCAATCGTGACAACGTTCATATATGTGGGCCCACTTAAATCATTTCAACCAAAGTAAAGCTGTAAACTGGAATGTATTACTTTCAGTATAATTATTCTCAGAGACTAGGTCCATATTTTGCTCTCTTTTGACTAAATCGTGCACCTCTGGTTGGAAATATTTGGCGAGTAGATGCTACTTCTGGTAAAATTCACACTAGATAAATATTAATAAATGATAATTTACGTTGACATGGTAAATCATATAAAATAATGAAACAACAATGAAATGCTTTTGTAGGGTAGAAAACGCTCTTCATGCTTAATTAGAACAAAATCTAAGGTTGAGGCGTGTAAGATCACTGTTCTTAAAAGTGGATTTCGCCTCTCCGAGACTCTTGGTGTTGTAAGTTATGATGCCCTACCCTCCAGGATACAACAACCTTGTAAGCGTACACTTGCTACTCCAGTCACTCGATTTTTCCATTGGTACAAAACCATTGAATGACATAGCAACACTTGAAAGAATGAGAGAGGAGAGAATTGGAGAGTTAGTATTCCTGAGAAGCTTCATACACGGATGAGTGGTTCAAAGAAGAGGATCACTTGATCAACTCTTTTCAAATGGTTTATATTCTGGAGATATAAGGCTTATAATGATTCACATCAAAATAATGACTAACAGTTATGAAGGAATTAACACATATGATCAAGGTTCTAAAAAACACTAGGCGCTAGTCGGGCGGCGGGCCTAGCGCCTAGGCAGGGTCGAGGCGGATTTAGGTAATTTTTTTGTATATTTTGTAAATAATTGCATATTGACACTTACAAAAATTATACTTGTATGAAATACATAAATAAGATAATAAAAGAATGATAAAATGCAAACAAAATATCTAGCAAGTCCAGAATTTAAAAACATATTAAGCATATATACCATATAACTTAAGACATTTTAAATGACTATATCTAATTTTTAAAGATTAAAAGTAAAAATCCGGTTAGGTGGTTCATAATAAAAAGAATTTTGAAAAGGTGCATATGCATCCTTTCCCATTTCATAAAGTACCACGTGTGTGGTGTGACCCCTTCCCTCTAACCCTAGTTCCCATGCCTCACATCAGACAAGACCCATGCCTCACATCAACCAAGACAATCAGAGACTCCCAAACCAAGGAGTCCATTTTGACGCCTTGAAAATCGGAATCTTCTATTCTTTTTTATTCTTTCCTTTTCCTCATCCTCTTCATTTTCTTTCCGTTCACTTTTCTTCTTCTTTTTTCCATTTTCCCTCTGTAAACTCTCTTCTTCGATTGCTCTGCCCGATTCCCTATCTTTTCCACCTAATTAAGTTTCTTGTTTCCTCTCCCTTCATTCTTCTTCGATTGCTCCGCCTGATTCCCCATCTCTCCGCCTAATTTCCATCATGAGTCCAGTCAATTTCCTCAAGCACAGCGAAGAAATCCTCTCCGACGAAGAAATTTGGGCTTCCAGTCAAAGTTATCGTTTTTTTTCCCTGTAATTGCACTGTTATTCTGATTCCTTCTACACATCTCTCTCACGTTTACTCTTCCCTCACGCTCTCTCGATTTCTCTTTCGTCACCATCGCGGTGTAGTGAGACGAAAAATTTTAACAAAATCGCTGCAGATGCCGCTTAGCCCGACGCCTAGGCTGCCTAGCCCGCTTAGTCGGCTGCCTAGGCGCCACCTAATACCCATGCCGATTTCCTGAACGTTTTGAAATAATCACGGCGGCGGCCCGACGCTCATCGCCTAGGTAGCCGCCTAGACTGCGTTTTAGAACACTGCATATGATATTAAAATTAAGATGTTGATATGCACAAGCAATATATATGTGTGTGTATGTGGCTGTTGTAGAAACGGTTCACTAGTGATGGATACCAACTAATTAAGTGATAATGTTAACCACTATAATTTTAGAAAATAAATCGACTTTTTTTTTTCTTTTCGGAAAACAATAGTATCTACACTAAGGGAGAGAGGGTGGGCTTAGCTTCACAATAGGCTAGCAAGAATGTGGTTTAAACTCGCATTTGGCGAGAATTGAACCTAAGACCTCTCACTTACAAGTGAAGAGGAATACCATTAGATCGTAGTACTAAGTGGCAATTTTTTTTAGTACATCGACATTTTTAAGGGGAGGGAGAGTTTGGCTAAGCTACACAATGGGCAACCTAATTTAATATCAAATTCGCCATCCATGAGATTCGAACCTAAGACCTCTCACTTCCAAGTGAAGATGAATACCACCAGACCGTAATACTGAGTGACAATACTAAGTGGCAATTGACTTTGTATTTTGAAATACCCTAAAAATACCAACACTTCTGGCACACGCCATGTCCATTAATTTACTCAGCTTAATTTGTTTAATAAGGTTTTATGAATCAGTTGACTAAATTTGCGTGGGGTGCAAGAAAAATCGGCTGAATATTAATAGGAGAGCTTAATAGTTTACCAGCATCTCCTTACTGAGTCAAATTATCTTTGTCTCAATCAGTTGCAGTGTCTAAATATCTGTACGTTTGAAGGTAATGTACAAATGGTTTCCCCGTTTTCCTGGTAATTTGGTACGCTGATGCATTCGGGTGCCAGTCGAAGGCACAAAACCTGTATTTCATCTATTAATGTTGACGGTATACTTTCACATCCTTTTGTTTCTTCATTTTACTCTTTCCTTTGCATCACATCAGGCAAGGTCAACACTATGGGGGAACTGGAAGCTAACAGAGAAAACAATCGCTCGCAAGAGCACGTGCATGAAAACTGGAATCGTGGTTTAGAAGTTGATGTTGTGGGTGAAGAGATAACTATTAAAGGCAGAATTCAAGAAGTCGAGAAGCTGGCTGCAAAGATCTGTCAAGATAAAATTCAGCTGAATGAAGATATAGCGAAAAGGAAGGTATGCGAAATGATCCGAACGTTCTATTGGATATATAATATATATATGTGACTGCATTTCCTAATTCAATCATCAAACACCATATCTGACATTTTATTGAAAATATTGTCAACAGTGTGATAGGAGCAGTGTCCTTTTTCGGTTGGAAGACCTGAATGAAAAGGGACTCAAATCCAGGTTGGCCGTGGAGAGGGAGAAAATGAATATTCTGCAACTATTTCTGCTTCGTTTAACAAACAAAGCTCCCCAAGGAAAACCGGAGAAGCCCTTCATGCCACGAGAAGAGATATCTAAGCATGTAAGATTTCCTTATTATACATGCACACTCGCCGGTATGTCAATGTTCTTGATAATACAGCCTTTTGAGTTCGTTGGAAATGTGAACATGGATTCTGCAGAAAATGAATTTCCGGATGGTACATGGAACAAACAGTTTGGCTGACGAAAAGCAGCTTGTAAAAGTGATGAATGTGAGACAGAAGGAGGATACTGCTGGTTCATTTTCGCCATTGGGAAGGGATTATTATTATTATATAGCTCCGCCTCTTATAACTGTAAGATTAAACAAGTAATATTAAGTTCCGCAGAGTTAATTAGTCTACTATACACCGAGTTTTTCTTTTTCTTTAGATTTGATTTTTATCGTTTGGACTACTGAAACAGACTTATTACTTGCGTCATCTCTCTGCTGTACAATATCTTCGGAATCAGAGAAGTATAATGCATCACCGCCTAAGACAAATCCAAGAACTTCAATGGCAAGGAAGACAAATACAAGAACTTCAATGGCAAGGCGATAGACCGGGAATAGTATTTGAAAGGCAATGGGATGAAGCCATTGCTGAAGCAAGAGCTAGTGCCAATCCTAATGCTGATGCTAATGCTGCTGCCAATGCCATTGCCACTGCCAGGATTTGGGATTCTTTGAGTTCGAAGAAAGCGTTACAAGAGCAAATCAAGGTAAAACACATAACAATTCTAACTCATCGAATAGAGTAGCTAAAAGTTCGAACTTTGTTTCTTTTAACTTGCTAATTTAATTTCTTGACACAATATTGCAGGTAACGGGTGAAAAGATAGAAGAGTTAACGAAATCACTAACAGCCGTGCGGCCAAAAGTCAGGAAAGTTGAGAGAGAATTGAAGGCCATAGAAAGAGATATCGAAATCTTGGAGAAGAAATTGTCGTTGATTGATCAGAGGAAAGATGAAGCAAACCAATGCATTCTTTGTTGGTATTGAGAAGTTTACTAACTCAACACCAAAATATGTGGGTGATAAGTTTACAAACTCTATCACACCTCTCACTTTCTCTCTCAATAAAATTGGACTAACAAACGGAGAAGGGATAGGAAATAACAAGCTTCCACGAAACACACTTTCTTGATATATGAAATAAAAGGCAGTTTACAAACTGATGAAGAAAAAAAACAGAAGCTTACAAGCTTATGAACCTGAGAGAATACAATCAGAAAAATGGGATTTGGATGGGATGTTACTAAAGCCTTACGAGAGGCTTCCTTAAATACTACACAACCTACACCTTTACACCATCAATTGACAGCACACAGACAGCAGCATATCTGCTGTCTTTAACACATGGGAACGTGAAAAAAATCAAGAGACCAAATGTGCTCCAGGTTGTCTACATTCGGCTAGCACATGGCAGCACCATTCCAGGTTGTAGTCACAACCTTTCAGTTAGCACATGGATGAACTTTTAGCCTTTAAAGTTGCAGCATGTGTGGATACATCCTGTAAAGAAACTAACAGCCATTAGCAACCTTTTACAGCCTGTTTTGAGTTGAATTTCCAACACGCCCCCTCAAATCAAAACGCCTTCATGCCTAGCATTTCACGCAATAACCTGAATGGTTCAACTGGCAGTGGCTTAGTGAAGATGTCAGCCACTTGTTCCTTCGTGTGACAATAGACAAGCTCAATTGTCTTTTGCTTCACATGGTCCCTTAGAAAATGGAACCTGGTATCAATGTGCTTGCTCCTTCCATGTTGAACAGGATTCTTTGCAAGCTTGATAGCTGAGATGTTATCCACATGAATCACAGTCGATTCCACTTGTGGATGACACACTGACTTCAACAGATTTCTTAACCAAATTGCCTCACACACAGTTGAGGCTACAGCAACGTACTCGGCTTCACACGATGACAAAGCAACAATTGATTGCTTCTTTGAAGTCCATGAGAAAGCTGTTGATCCTAGAAAAAACACATAGCCAATTGTGCTTTTCCTTTCATCTTGGTCACCTCCCCAATCACTATCTGAATAACCAAATAATTTTGCATCTTCACCAAAATTATAAAACAGACCATAGTTTAGAGTACCTCTTATGTACCTCAAAATTCTCTTGGCGGCCAGCCAATGAGACTCATTTGGTGTTTCCATGTACCGACTCACGAGTCCAACTCCATAAACTATATCAGGTCTTGTGATTGTAAGGTACCTTAGACTTCCAACCAAGCTTTTGTACACAGTTGAGTTTACAAACTCACCTTCTCCTTCTTTAGACAGCTTCAATCCAGTTGCAACTGGAGTGTTGACAATATTGCACTTATCCATATTGAATTTCTCCAATATATCTCTCATGTACTTTTGTTGAGAGATGTAGATACCGTCACTTTCTTGCTTCACGTCTATGCCAAGAAAGTATGACATTAATCCATTGTCAGTCATCTCAAATTCACTGAACATGGATTGCTTGAACTCACAGAACATTGCTTCATTGTTTCCTGTAAACAACAAGTCATCTACATAGAGACAAATAATTAAGAACTCCCCTTTTGCACCATTCTTCATGTAAACTGAATGCTCGTATGGACATTTCTGAAATCCATTTTGGTGAAGGTAGTTGTCAATCCTTGAGTTCCAAGCTCGTGGTGCTTGCTTGAGGCCATACAAAGCCTTCTTCAAACGATACACCTTTTCTTCTTCTCCTTGTACTTGGAAGCCTTCTGGTTGTTCCACGTACACTTCTTCCTCAAGTACTCCATTAAGGAAGGCTGACTTGACATCTAGTTGATAAATTTTCCATTTTTGATGAGCGGCAAGAGAGATTAGTAATCTTACCGTGTCAAGTCTTGCAACTGGAGCATAGACTTCATCATAGTCCACTCCATACTTCTGTTTGTAGCCCTTTGCTACAAGCCTTGATTTGTACCTATCCACACTCCCGTCTGCAGTGCGTTTGATCTTGTACACCCACTTGACACCAATAGCCTTCTGATTTGGTGGGAGCTTTGTCAACTTCCAAGTGTCATTCTTCTCGATGGCATGGATTTCTTCCTTCATGGCTATTCTCCAACGATCTTCTTCCACAGCTTCATTGAATGAGAGAGGCTCGTGGTCTGCATACAAGCAGAAAAGGTTGGTTTCTTCTTCTTCTTCTTGTCCATATATCTCGGTGAGACTTCTTAGCCTTACTGGAGTTGAGGAGCTGCTTTCTTCACTAGATGTCGGACCACTCCTTGCAGTTCTGTGCAATGGAGTTGTTGTGATTGTTTGAGCAGGTTGTTGCTCAACAGGTGGTACAACTTCTGGTTCTTCAAAATCAGTGGAGACGATCTTCTCTTTACTGACTTCTTTGTTGTTCCACTTCCATGCCTCTTCCTCACTGAAGATGACATCTCTACTAACCACTAGTTTGCCAGTTAGTGGGTTGTAGAGCTTGTATGCCTTGGACTCTTCACTATAGCCCACAAACACACACTTTTCACCTCGATCATCAAGCTTCCTTCTCTTGGCTTCTGGAACTTGAGCATATGCAACACACCCAAAAACTCTTAGGTGTGCAACACTCGACTTGTATCCACTCCAAGCTTCTTGTGGTGTCATCCTTTTGACACTCTTTGTTGGACATCGATTCAACAAATAAATCGAACAAGCTACAGCTTCTGCCCACAATTCTTTTGGCAAATTCTTCTCCTTAAGCATGGACCTTGTCATGTCAAGGATGGTTCGATTCTTTCTTTCGGCTATCCCATTTTGCTGTGGTGTATATGCAGCAGTCAGTTGATGCCTAATTCCTTGCTCCTTGCAGTATGCTTGGAAAGCATTGGAGGTGTACTCTCCACCTCTATCTGATCTCACAGCCACAAGCTTGTGGTTGCTTTCAGCCTCTGTGAGTGCCTTGAACTCCTTGAAGATTTTTAGGGCAGCCGACTTCTCTTTGAGAAAATAAACCCAAGTCTTCCTACTGAAATCATCAATGAAAGTAATAAAATACCTATTACCTCCATAAGACATGGGATCCAATGGACCACATATATCCGTGTGTACCATCTGCAGTGGTGCCTTTGCTCTCCATGTATCACCAACAGGGAATGATAGTCGTGCTTGCTTGCCAAGCACACAACCTTCACATACTTGGCGTGTGGCTTCAATCTGGGGTAGACCACGAACCATTCCTCCACTTGACAGCAACTTTAGGCCATTGAAATGAAGATGGCCAAATCGAAGATGCCATTTCCATGACTCATCTTCCATTACACCGATGTTGCAACTCCCAATCTTTGTGTTCAACTTCAACGGGAACATTCGGTTCTTTGACATTTGAACACGTGCAATAAGTTTTCTCCTTGCATTCCTGAGAGTGAGAAACATATCCTCTATATGTATAATATACCTTTTCTGGAGCAGTTGACCAATGCTCAGAATGTTGCTCTTCATACCTGGTATGTAGTAGGTATCGGAGATGTATTCTTCTCTACCATCCTTCTGGATGATCTTGATCTTCCCTTTGCCTTCAACTGGCAACTTTGAGGAGTCACCAAGACTTACAGATCCATAGGCCCCATCTTTGAGTTCGGCAAAAAACTCCTTCTTTCCACACATGTGATTGCTTGCACCAGAGTCCAAATACCAAACATCTTGTTGGCTACTGGAATCATGGTGTGCTAGCAAGACTGTAAGTTCCTCACCAGCATTTCCATTTGATTCTGCCATGTTGACATGCTCACCATTTTTATATGAACATTCATTTGCATAATGTCCATATTGCTTGCAAGTGTGACATTGGATATGCGCCTTTCCTCGGGTAGATCTCCATTCTTGAGATTGACCTCGGTTTTGTTCATAGCCTCGACCTCTTCCTCGGGCTCGTCCTCGGCTACGGTTGGATGAACTCCCACGACGTGAGTTCCCCTGCCCACGACCTTTATTTGGTTTGTCAATTTTCAATTTTGACTCCAAAGCTTGCTCTAGCATTGTGGGGCTTGCATTCTTCTAAATGCGTTGCTCGTGAACTAGGAGGGATCCTAGTAGCTCCTCTGCGCTCATCGCCTCCAAATTCTTGGATTCCTCAATGGCAGTCACCACATGCTCAAACTTAGATGTGAGTGACCGGAGTATCTTCTCCACAACTCGTACTTCATCGAGTCTCTCGCCATTTCTCCTCATTTGATTTACTATCACAATGAGCCTTGAGTGATAGTCGGAGATGCTCTCCCCTTCATTCATGTGAGCAGTTTTCAAAATCTGCTCGAAGTGACTGTAACCTCACTTTCTTGACTCGATATACTCCTTTGTAGATTGTACTGAGTGTGTCCCATACTTGCTTGCTCGTTGTTGCTTCTGCAACCTTCTCGAACGTTGAATCTTCTAATCCTTGATAGAGAAGATATAACGCCTTCTGGTCCTTCTTTCGTAAATCCTTGAGAGTGTTCCTTTGATCTGCAGTATATATGTGGCTTCTTGCTCGGTAGTGGGTACAACATACCCATTACTGACAACTTCCCATAGCTCTTGTGATCCAAACAATGCTTTGAATTGGATGCACCATCTTTCATAATTTTCTTTCTTCAATGTGGGAACTTGGAGCTGCACTAAGTTGGATGCCATAACTGCTGCACCTGCCAGAATGGTATTCTGGCTCTGATACCAATTGTTGGTATTGAGAAGTTTACTAACTCAACACCAAAATATGTGGGTGATAAGTTT